CAGGAGAAGGATATGTAGTTGGCTTGTGGATGCTAAGTTTAAGCTCACCTCGTACGCCAGATTGGGCATGGTACTTCACATCAGTATCTTTAAAATGAAGATAACTTTTGCTTTGACTTTTAAGCACGACAATTTCATGTATATCAGAATATACTCTATCATTAGAATTTGTCTCGGCCATTCCTAAAAAAAGGAGAGAAAAAAAGTTAGCCAAAAAAAAAAAATTTTAACAGGCAATAAATCTTTTAAGTTCATTTATTGTCTAAATCATACCTTCTCAGATATGTAAATGACCTCCAAAAGAAAGTGCCCTGGACAGTCGAAGGAGCCAGTCCTTGGTCTCGAACACAAAGTGCCCTGTACAGTTGAAAGAGCCAGTCCTTGGTCCCAAACATAAAGTGCATCGGACGGTCGAAGAAGCCGGTCCTTAGTCCCAAACACAAAGTGCTCTAAACGGTCGAAGGAGTAGGTCATTAGTCCCAAACACAAAGTTCCTTAGATGGTCTAAGGAGGCAATCCTTGGTCCCAACACAAAGTGCTTGGTCCCAAACACAAAGTGCCTCAGAAGGTCGAAGGAGCCGGTCCTTGGTCCCAAACATAAAGTGCCCTGGACGGTCGAAGTAGTCGATCCTTGGTCCCAAAAATAAAGTGCCTCGAACGACGAAAGATGGTAGCCCTTGGTCTTGAGTTTGTTCATAAACAAATATTTTTCCAACCCGTAAAATAATCGCAACACAAAATCTTTGACTTGCTCCAAAAGTTAAATCCCTGAAAATAAAAATGAAGAATGTTAGTAATGACCTTATAACAACCATACTTCTAAAAAAAATTACTATTCACATGAACAGTATGTATTGTTCACGTGAACAGTCTGCAGTAAAAAAAAAAATCTTGCAGAAACCAAGAAAACTAACTTAATAAAAACGTTAAAAACAATTTAAAACCAACAAATTGGTTTTGTTTTTGGTTTCTGCCCATGACAGAAACCAATTCCAATACAAATTGGTTTTTGCCATTGGCAAAAACCAATAACCAACATTGTTTGGTTTGGTTTGGTTTGGTTCCGCCGACGGCGGAAACCCCAAAGAAAAAAAAACATAATATTTCTTCCCTTTATTTGCAAATTTGATCTTTTGTTTCAAAATCTTATATTTCGTTCCTATAAATAGGCGGGTATCGGGCTTCTCTTAAACTCAACTTACCATAAAATATAAAAGACCTGTNTTGTCTCGGCCATTCCTAAAAAAAGGAGAGAAAAAAAGTTCGCCAAAAATAAAAAATTTAACAGGCAATAAATCTTTTAAGTTCATTTATTGTCTAAATCATACCTTCTTAGATATGTAAATGACCTCCAAAAGAAAGTGCCCTGGACAGTCGAAGGAGCCAGTCCTTGGTCTCGAACACAAAGTGCCATGTACAGTTGAAAGAGCCAGTCCTTGGTCCCAAACATAAAGTGCATCGGACGGTCAAAGAAGCCGGTCCTTAGTCCCAAATACAAAGTGCTCTAAACGGTCGAAGGAGTAGGTCATTAGTCCCAAACACAAAGTGCCTTAGACGGTCTAAGGAGGCAATCCTTGGTCCCAACACAAAGTGCTTGGTCCCAAACACAAAGTGCCTCAGAAGGTCGAAGGAGTCGGTCCTTGGTCCCAAACATAAAGTGCCCTGGACGGTCGAAGTAGTCGATCCTTGGTCCCAAAAATAAAGTGCCTCGGATGACGAAAGATGGTAGCCCTTGGTCTTGAGTTTGTTCATAAACAAATATTTTTCCAACACGTAAAATAATCGCAACACAAAATCTTTGACTTGCCCCAAAAGTTAAATCTCTGAAAATAAAAATGAAGAATGTTAGTAATGACCTTATAACAACCATACTTCTAAAAAAAATTACTATTCACATGAACAGTATGTATTGTTCACGTGAACAGTCTGCAGTCAAAAAAAAAAATCTTGTAGAAACCAAGAAAACTAACTTAAAAAAAACGTTAAAAACAATTTAAAACCAACAAATTGGTTTTGTTTTTGGTTTCTGCCCATGACATAAACCAATTCCAATACAAATTGGTTTTTGCCATTGGCAAAAACCAATAACCAACATTGTTTGGTTTGGTTTGGTTCCGCCGACGGCGGAAACCCCAAAGAAAAAAAAACCATAATATTTCTTCCCTTTATTTGCAAATTTGATTTTTTGCTTCAAAATCTTATATTTCGTTCCTATAAATAGGCGGGTATCGGGCTTCTCTTAAACTCAAGTTAC